CTTGATATTTTGCAGACTTCTTTTTGAGTGAGAGGAAGAGAAGAAGAAGGGAATAAGTCTTTATTAAGCATCTGCATGTGCCGGACATTGTGCGAAGTGCTTTACAAAGCCTCATTTGATCCTCATGACAACCATGGGCAGTAGGTGCTATTATTATCCCCATCTTACAGTTGAAGAAACTGGGGCAGGCGCAAATTAAGTGGCTTCCAGTGGGTTATTTACCTTTAAAATCCTTCCTTTCCTTTGTCCTCATTTTGTCATACAGGGCCACACAGGTAGTTAAGTGTCTGAGGCCAAGTTTAAACTCAGGCCTCCCTGACTCCAGGCCCAGTACTCTGTGCCAGCTCTCTGGTGAAGAGCATATCCTGTGGCCCAGACTTGCTTCAAACTCTTGACCTGTATGGACTGGACCCGATCCTGAGTACTGAGTTGCAAATGATCAGTTTTCCTTTTTGGCTCATTATGCCCCCATCATGGAATTTAATACAGGGAAATTTCTAAAATAAAGCTTAAGTATAGCTTGTACTTATGTTTCCCCAAACAGGGTCTCCAGGTCCCATAAGTGCACCCAAGATAAATGCAACTTGGAGGGGCGGTTAAGTGGTGCAGTGTATAGAGCACCAGCCTGGAGTCAGGAGGACCTGAGTTCAAATCCGACCTTGGACACTTAACACTTACTAGCTGTGTGACCCTCCTTAACCCCATTGGCTAGCCAAAAAAAGAAATACAAATTGGATATGGGTCAGCCTTTATTACTCCACATAAAAACAGAAGACTAAATGGGTTCATAAGCAGGTAAAGAAAACAAATAGCCCATAAACTTCCCCAGAATGGACTTGGACCTGGGGTTGTCATCAAGGCAACTCTTTGATATTTCTGTAAATCCTCTTTTTCAGATGATTCTACATATACCATCTCTGCCCATCACCCCTCCCCCCAAGACTTGTAGTAGTACCCTTGGGTTTAAGACTCATCTGAAAGGTAAACTCACTTTTGGGGCTGCCTAACCTGCATTGTTTGAATAACCACTCACTGTAATAGTGGCGGGTGCTAAGATCCAGATCTCTTGATCTGCTGTGTTGTGGCTTTAACCTTTCACCTTTGGGTGATCCTTTCCTTTCCCCACAGTTGGATGCTGTTCTGCCCTTGGGACCTGTATGTAAGGTGGATTTTTGTTATGCTTTCTTAGAGCTTAGTTCTCATGATCCATAGCCATAGTAATTTCCAGTTCCCAGGTGTCAGATAATATTTCTCACAGTCATGCTTTGTAAACATCTCTACCACGCTTGCACAATGAGATATAGGGATGAAGTAATGTAAAATTGTGAGGCTGTTGTTGGCAATATGCCTTCTTTGTCTGTTGCCCTATAAATCAAGTGGGCACTGGTCAGTGAGTGGAGATTTGGGATTTGGGTAATGCATAGAGGGATGCATGTGTGTCTGCTTCAACCAGCCTCACATTGAGGCTTGGGGGAATTTAGGGGAGTGCACAAGCTGGAATGCTGTGCCTGTCCTGATTGGCCCCCATTGAGATGTAGGGGTTGTTGCCCCTCCCTTCTTGCCTGCCCCTGCAAGAAGGGTGATTAGGGAATGCAGTAGGAGCTGGTGCTCCCATTATCAGCAGCACTTTTGAGAAGACTAGACTCTAATAAAGTAAGCTTGTTTAACCCCTCCGAAGCTGTCTTCCTGTCCTTCTGGCTGCCCAGATCAAGAACGAACCTGTTAGAGGCTGGAGTCTAAAAACTTCAGTGCCTCCTGTGTTGTTACTTGTCCTAATAGGGCCAATCAAAATAAGTTGAACATCTCTTCCATATGACAGCCATATAAATACCTGAATTTCCTCTAAGTTCCTTCAAATGATCATTAGATGGAATAAGGCATAATCTCAAGATCTTTCATCACAATCTGAAATAATGTTCCCAGTGTGGTCTGACCAGAGCAGTGTATAGCAGGACTTTTTGTACAGTCCCCTTCTTTCTCTAGAAGGTCCAATGCCTAAATTTTCAAATTTAGGTGACTCATGAGGTAATCCAAAAAGCTTGCACTTTACAGGAAATTTTCCTTCTTAGACTGCAGTGCTAGATTACATTGTCTAGGAACTCAAAATCCCCATTCTTCTACACAGAAGATCATAGTTCAACAAGATTTTCCATGAATTATCCTCTTGGGCCCTGTGTGTGAACACATGAGGCCTCCATAAAGTTACCCTGAGCAGTGCCCACAATGTCTTGGGGCGGGAAAGACCACTCTCAGGACTCCCACGTGCTTACTGCTCCAAGGCAGTCAGTCATTCCTGGGATGGGGCAGGGACTAGGAGACTGTCTGTATATATAGGCACTGGATTTCCTCCTCCAGGACCCTAAGCCCACTTTGTTGAATCCTGGTCTCTTTTCTAAGTAGGAAAAGTAGAAGACAAAAAGGAGACTTTAAAAAGAGGCAAACAGTGGGTTGTTGCTCTCTTTAATAGGTTGTTAGGAAGAGGCAGCACCTATGACAAGAGTCCAACCTCTTGAATCTCAAGTTAGACAACCAGTCATCTCATTCCAGTCACTGAAAACCAGTCAAAAGTGGTTTGTGCCCTCTAACAAAATGTCAGCACACATGTCTGTGTTCTCCATGGTGTGTCACTCCTCAGATGTCTTCAAAGTCTGATTTCTATAAAGCTTATCAAATTGACCAGAGATGTTTCTGCTCGGTGTCATTTGTACTCACAACTATGAACTCATGTTTATTTTTTAAGTAATTAAGTAATTTTTAGTTTTCAACATTCACTTTTATAAGATTCTGAGTTCTAAATTTTCCCCCTTCCTCACCTTCCGCCTCCCCATGATGGCATGCAATCTGATATAGGCTGTACATGTGCAATCATATTAAACATATTTCCACATTAGTCATGTTGTGAAAGAAGACTCAGAAGAAAATAGAAAAAACACAAGAAAGAAAAAAAGAGAAAATATTATGCTTTGATCTGCATTCAGATTCCATAGTTCTTTTTCTGGATGTGGATAGCATTTTCCATCATGAGTCTTTTGGAATTTCTCTTAGATCATTGCATTGCTGAGAAGAATTAAGTCTATCAAAGCTGGTCATTTCACAGTATTGCTGTTACTGTGTATAGTGTTTTCCTGCTTCTGCTCACTTCACTCAGCATCAGTTCATGTAAACTTTCTAGGTTTTTCTGAAATCTGCCTACTACATCATTTCTTATGGAACAATAGTATTCCGTCACATTCATATACCACAACTTGTTCAGTCAATTGATGGGCATCCCCTCAATTTCCAATTCTTTGCCACCACAAAAAGAGCTGCTATAAATGTTTTTGTGCATATGAGCCCTTTTCTCTTTTTTATGATCTATGAGCTCACATTTAAACTAAAATCACTAAAATAACCTAGCACAATTGCTAACTAGGCACTGCTGGGCTGGTGACCTCCTCTACTTGCCATCTTGGTTTGCCCTGGGATTCATTGCTCTGGGGTTACCTGACATCTCAGTGGTGGAAGTAGCCTCCCCAGTTCTCCCATTGTTTCTTCACCCCCACCTTGACTACTCTGGGGAAATTTGCTGCCTATAGAATTATAATTTTAAAAATGGTTATGGGCTCAAAGTCTAAGGATTTTCCTCAGCAAGAGGTAAGTAAAAGGGCACCCATTGTACAAATATGAATGAGATAGGGAACAGGTAATTTGTTCCCACACAGAAAAGCAATAAAGGATCCTTGAATGATTAGAACCAACTCCATTGACTAATCACAACTAGTACAATCATTTGGGAGGCTAGTGTTGAAGTCTCGTTGGTACATAAATAGTTTTTTGCAAAGCTGCTAATGAGCTAGTTCACATTTCACCCCCGCTGAACATTGTCCGTTCAAATACCAAGCACAAATGTCTTTTGAGGGCCTCCCTCTCTGATACCAGTTCTTTCCTTGTTGTAATCCCAATCCCACTACTATTACTGCAACTGCAACCTCTTTGATAAATGCTGCTCTTGTCACAGGCAGTTGCAAGCCTTCCATGACCTTTCGGTATTCACAAGGTGAATGCTAGAGAAAAGGAACTCTAAAAGGAGGGGCAAGGCATCCAGGGATAAGCTCCATGGGGCCTAGGAGGCCCTTGGTTACCATTATGTAGGACTATAGAAAGATCTTTCCTTCACCCACCTCCTGACCAGAATCACATCTTGTCTTCTCTAGAGAGACCCACTATTAAGGAAACTGCCTCTTCTCTAAGATGGGGCACCCAACCTTGTCAATGATGGGGAATGGGTTGGAGGGGGACATTTAATCCAGCAATGAGTCATACATAGTTAGAAGCAGGCAGAGGATATCTGTGTGTACTCAAGTCTCTGCATGGTCCTCTGGAGGGCAGTTAGAGAATATCTGTGTACTCTCCAAAATGGAGGACTTGTTGTAAAACAAAATAATATAGTAGAGTTCTAGACTCTGCCTTTATACTGAATTTTACAATTTATTACCTCTGTTGGTTTTCAGTTTGGAAAATTTAAAAATTGGATCTTGTAGCAGCATGGATTTACCTTGTTTTGTTCATTTTCTACCTTGCTTCTCCCTCCAAATTGAACCACCAGGAACCAAGCCTGTGAGGCTCTGACAATTGGCTTTGTACTCCCAGGGTCCATGAGTTCTCAACTTCACCTCAACCATTTTCCACCCTGTATCCTGTGATAAAATTAATACTCACATTGCCTCTGGAATGAGCATGCCAGTGGACTATATTATTGTTCCACTCCCCATCTTTGTGACTTTCCATACCATAACTCTCTTCCTTGGCCATTAAATATACATATACATACACACATACATATGTAAATACATATGTATATGTATATATATGTGTGTATATATATATATATATATATATATATATATATATAACAAAATAAATGCAAAGTAGCAGAAAAGGGAGATGGGAGAATAAGAGAATCTGCCCATGGAAAACTGAGATTTTCTTGTTCTTAAGTTTATTCACCTTTTTTTTTGCAGGTAGATGAAATCCTTGGGGATCAGCCTGAGTTGAAGGAAAAAGTGTTTGCAGTTTTGAAGCAGTACGCTTCAGAGCGGAAGGTGGACTATTTAGCTTATGCTCTGGCTATGATTCTCACCAATGAGGACCATCAGATGCTCATCGACAACATCAGGTACACTAGTGGTTTGAAGCAGATGGGGTGAGGCATTGATAAAATGCAAGTTTAATTTCTCCTGCAGTCCAAGAGGATTCGATTCTGAGGTGGCTGGAAATGCATCATAATTAGTAATTCTAATTTGTATTTGTAATAGGCACTTTAATTTTTTGATATGCTTTCACAACCATCACTTTAAAAAATATATTTATTTTTCTCACTTCTGTAAGGAGGAAGTGTATTTTGGAATAAAGGTTAGGAAATAGGTTCTGGTACAGCAATTCAGTTTCTACCTTTGGACCTCAGTTTCCCTACTTGTAAAATAGCTCTAAGATTTGGTGTTCTACTTCAGTAAATATCTCTTAGTCATTTATTGTGTGTAGAGCTCTTTGGAGGGAACTGAGGGAGGATTTGGGGGTAGGGGTCCAGAGCTATGATTCATTAGTATAGAGAACTGGGATGTGGGGAGAAGGAGAAATAAAAAGATTAAATAAAAATCCCTGCCCCAATAAACCTTCAAGCTAAGGCAGGGCAACAAGTATTTATTTTATTTATCTATTTATCTATCTATTTATTTATTTAATTATTTATTTGTGTTTTCAGCTAGGCAATGTGGTTAAGTAACTTGCCCAGGGTCACACAGCTAGTAAGTGTTATGTGTCTGAGATCACATTTGAACTCAGGTCCTTCTGAATCCAGGGCTGGTGCTCTATCCACTGCGCCCCCTAGCTGCCCCTGCAAGTATTTATTAATCACTTACTATATGCCAGGTATATAAATACAGGCCATGTACTAAATGCTGAGGACACAAACACAAACAAAAGAAAGATAATCCCTGCCCCAAGGACCTTAGTTTCCAATAGGAAAAGATAAAACACCAGAAGAAGAAGAGAATGAATATTGGCTGGCCTCTCCAAGAAGGAGGCCCTCAGAGGAACTCGCCAATGAGAGAAAAGGCTGGCCAGCATGGTGGTGGGGGCAGGGAGATGTTCAAGGGTGAGAAGGTTGAAGGATCCCACGAATGTTCCAGGGTGAGGAGACCCCAGGTACTAAAGGAAGTTCCAGGGTAAGATGAGCCATGGTGGCAAAGTCCAGAAAGTCAGAAGCAGAGCCAAGAGGGGAAATTTTTGGGGGATTGTGGAACATATAGAGATAATAGTAATACAAATGATACATAACTACATTAGAGAGAACAAAAATTTTTAACCTAGTGCTATATAATATGCTTTCAATAGCATTGGGTCTTAAAGAATGTGTGGAATTTTAAAAGATACAGATTTTAAGTTGGGGGAGTTGGCCATAGGGAGCCCTTTGAACAAAGACATATGGTTTGTGTTGGGGAGGGTACATAGTTCAGTTTTGACTATAGCACGCAGTCAGTGGTGAGGGTCAAAGCTGGAAAGTAGGGTGGTACTAGACTATGGAAGGCCTTGAACAGAAGGCTGAGGACCCTTCCAGTTTTGACATTCTGGGCCCTATACTGTAATGGCCTGTTCCCTCTGGCCTTGCCAATGGTGGGATGAGCCAGGGTTACAGATGAGAATCCTCCATGGTTCTGGCTGAGGTATTGTGGGACTCAGTGCTGATGGGCTTAGCAATGGGAAAGGTCATGGCGATGATTTTTTTTTTATCCATGAAGGGAAGGAGGAATGTTGTCTGGAGCAAAACCCAGTTACTGGACTAGGGAACGTCATTTGATAATCAGCAAGCATTTATTAAGGACCTACCACGTGCTAGGCACTGGAGATAAAAAGACAAGCGTGAAACAGCTGCCCTCAAGGAGCTTGCAGTCTAGCTTAGAGAGACAACATATACATATGAAAGTTTGGCTACAGGTATTCACTCATGTATATTTGTATGTATGTGTGTATATATACATGTGTGTAGCCAACCTTTGTTATCTCTCCAAGCTGGATTGTATACACATGTGTGTACGTGTATACATACATATACATATGTATTTACATATACACATAAGATGCATGACGTAGTGGTTAGAGTGATGGAATTGAAGTTAGAAAGACCTGGTTCAAATTCTGCCTCAGATACTTATTGGTTATGTGACCTTGGACAAGTCGCTTGATATCTCTGAGCCTCAGTTTTCTCGTCTGTAAAACAATGGATTTGGACTAGATTGATCTAAGGTCCCTTCCAGTTCTAAGTATATGAGCTATAAAGATAAACTTGGGGAGAAAGAATCTCACTTCAAGGGACTGAAAAGTGAGTGGGAGGTGAGGCAAGGCCAGCAATAACGAGCTTGCTCCCACTTTTTGAAACCAAAGAATTTAAAAAATCACTCTGGCCTAGACAGCAGTTGCCCACCATGCTAACAGGACTGAAAGTGGAAAAAATCACATTGAAATCGTAAAATATTTAATTGGGACAGAAATGAATAGTAAAATGGAAGAAGAGGGGAGTCTTACATACTTTCTTTTCTTTTTTATGACTAAAGTTTTTGCATCAGTCATATTTGACTTTACTTTAGCACACATACACACACATATACAGTACACACTTACGGCACACATACACCCACCCCAAGTTTCTTCACCTCTGAATTTTTTTTACTCTGCTTCTATCCCAGGGGCACTGAATGGGTCAAATGAAATAATATATGTATTGTTTTTCCTGTCGTGGTGGATTCTGTGAATTAGCATGCCTGAGAATCATCAGTTCTGTGCGAATGAGGCAGGTGTACGCCAGGCACCATGCTTACTAGGGATCATTCTTGAAATGCATTCTCTTCTCCGAAGTGCAACTTGGAATCCCTAGATACCTTCAACTCTTAGCCCAAGCACCTCCTTTTACCTTGGGTCTTCCTTAAACCTCCCCAGCTGCTACTGTCTCCCCCCCCAAATTACCTTGTATTCAGTCTGTATATATTTATAAATGTACATTTGTTTCCCCTAATAGAATGTAACCCCCAGCACCTAGCAGTGACTAGAACATAATATAGTAGGTGCTTAATAAATGCTTTTTGGTTGATCAAGAAGAGCTGCCATTAACCCATCCAAAGGCCAAAGCATAATTTCTTCTGACTAGGAAAAAAGCACTCCAATTTTTGGGGTATAAACCACTTTTTGAACTCTACAATAGGCCTAGCCACTCAGTAAGGCAAAAGAGGGGTATCTATCGGCTGACAGCCTTTTTCTCACTGTTTCCTAAGTTTTGTGAGAGACAACATGGTGAAGAGCAGTGCTATCAAACCCAAATAAAAAGAGGGACCACTAAACCCTACATAAGGCCCTGCAGGCTGCATCTTGACCCAGAAAACCACATATTAACATTATCTATGTTCTATTAAATGTTTCCGAATTACATTTTGATCTGGGAATGTTGTATGCGGCAGTGAGGCCTGCTAGCATGTATCCTACTATGTGGTGGATGGAGAGCTGGCCTCAAAGCCAGGGAGAACTGAGTTCAAATTCTGTCTCTGACAAAATGTGTGACCTTGGGCAAGTCGCCATCTCTCAGGGCTCTAGGAAACTCTTTGAAATTATAAATTGCAGAGAAGCAGAGCTGCTTTAGTAGAAGGATTTTTTTAGACCACAGGACCATTCCTTAGTCTTTAAATTCTGAAGGAGTTTTGGACTTGACCTGAGGGAACATTACCCAGAATGCCACTTACCCTGCCTGGAAGAAGAGGCTTATGGATAGGAGAGAAGAATGGGGAGCAAAAAGGGAGTGAAAGAGATAAAAGTTTGGGCCATGGAGAATGGGCAGGAGGTTGCCGGTCCTGAGCAGAGCCGTAAAGATGAATCAGGCACAAACTATGTCTCTGAAACCTGTGCAGAAGTTCAGCTTGGGGCCAGGGAGGGAAACCAGTGCTATACCTTTCCAGAGAGATTGGAATATGTTGTGGGTTATTTATTCATTTTAACCCCCTATTGTACTGCTGTGCTTGCTAAGCATCGACTTCTATTCTAAATGTTTGTTTCTTTGTCTAGTAAAAATGACAAAACTGTTGATCAACAGAAATTCAAAGGTGTATTTTGTGTCTGAACTTAGTTAACGTTCACAAATAGAGTAGGGAAGAGGGAAAGAGAGGTTCCTTTCCAGAGACATCTTGCCTGAGTTAGGCTGGGTGCTCAGAAATCCTTCTTAAGAATTGTAAAGGCAGGGTTGGCTAGGGGTGTGAAAAAATCCCAGAAACTAAGTCCCCTAGAAATAAAATAGTGAATTGGTAATAACCACAGACTGTGAAGGGAGTAAAGAACAGGCATTTTTATTTTCCCTTTTCCCTGGCAGCTATGGTTTGACCTGCAAAGGTCTGAAAAATGAAAGCCATGCTCTACAAAAGCGGTGGGGTGAGTTTCTTACAAAGACAAAAAAAAAAAACCCCAACCCCATAGATTGCTCTAAGATTCTAAGTGCTACCTTTGGTAATTTATTGATGTGTTTTGTTTTTATATTACCTAAATTTTCCCTCTATATACCTCCCTACTCTCTCAGAGATTCATCTCATATAACAAAGACTTTTTTAAGAGAAAAAAGGAAAAGAAAAAAACCCCAACAAAGGTGATCAAAACATGCAGAATCTCTGGCCGTCCCTGTTTTTATTGTCTACCTGTAGGCAGTATCTAAGTGGGGGAAAGGCTGCTTCCCTCATTAGGACTACTGACAGCATCTGCTGCTTTTAGGCCACTGCTAAGCCATCATTATAATTGAAAGAGCACCTGTCAAAGTCAGACGGGCACAAAAGAAAAGTCTGACACTTATGTGCAAGTTTCCATATCCGCAGACACCCCCTCACCTCCAGCCCTCTGCCTTTGCAGATTCTAAGCGACAGAACAATGGCCCCTCTCTGTTGACATTGAGAGTTTCTTCACCAGGAGCTCCATACACAGAACAAATCTCTTGTCTCAACACCATCAAAATCCCCAAAGAATCATCTTGAGGCAGTTTCATTTCTACATCCCTGCCATCTCTGTCCCTGCTTAGCTCACACTGGGCACAAATACCTTCTGGAAGAAAACCGTTTGCAAACTATGAAGTATTATCCATATATGAGATATATA